GAAGATTTTATGGAAACAGTTGGAAGTCATGTGGTAGTCTTTAAACATAATTTAAATAACATACAAATAACATACCAAGCTACATTTAAATGTTTCATTATTTCATTGTGTGTTTGTTTTGTTTTGTATTTTTAACAGGTTTTTGCCTTAGGTCATTGGGTACCCTGGTCTGGCTGGAGAGACAGTGAGGGAGAAAATGAGAAATCACTCCCCAGGGGTATGGCTCAGCTGCAGTCCCTTCTCCGTTCTCCTCCCTGGATCTTAGGCACTCACATACATGCCCCCAGTATGTGTTTCAAGCCACCAGGTTGGGGACTCCAACCATGGTCAGCCATGTAGGAGTCCAGTGACATAGCCATTATGCCATCTGCTGACCCCATTTGATTGTGTTTTTAATGGAGAATTTGATTGAAGGAAGACACTGAATTCTTTCTTTACAAACAGCTTGAGAAAGGCCTCTGTTATCTGTTCCTAACTGAAAGTACTTCTGCTTGTTGGAATTGTGTGAGATGCATCATTCACTTATTGAAGTGAAATCTTTTTTCTTTTTTAAGAGAAAGATGTTTGCTATAGGGTGGGTGTGCTGACCGTAGAGACAGAGAGACACAGAAAGTGAGAAATCATCACCCAGGGGGTATAGCCCTGACACAATCCCGTCTTCATTTTCCTCTCTGGATATTGGGCACACACATGTACGTGCCTGGCGTGAGTTTTTTAAGCTGCCAGGTCTGGGACTCCAACTGTAGTCAACTATGTGATAGTCAAGCGACAACCATTCCGTCATCCGCTGGTTTCTACTTAAGTAAAATGTTATTACTAGGATTTTGCCATTTCGAATGGTATACATGTTTGGCAAAGTTTCTTTTCAGTAAGTCATTTCCAAATAAATAATGTAAAATTCATTACCATGAAAATAGTTTAACTAGTTTAAAGGATCAATATAGTACTTACTTGTAAATTGATAATATGCAAATTATTTAGAACCATCTTTTATTGCTAAAACCCTTAAAAAAAGTTATACTTCAACCTAACTTCATACTTTTCAGGGATATTTTTTCTTTATTTTTTGCCAGAGAGCACATTGCTAGCTAGAGAGAGACACAAAGAAAGGGAATGGGAGGAGTGAGAAGGCACCTCCTAGGGGGGATGCCCACACTGCAGTTCCTTCTCCATTTCTCTCTCCTTTTGGGATTTTAGGCAGGCAAACATATGCGCTCTGTTTTTTTCCAGCTACCAGGTCCAGACCAAACCTTGTAGTAGGCCAGGTAGGATCTGGCCACCTTAACCACCATGTCACCAGCTGACCCCTCAGGTACTTTTATAAAAATGAAAATGCAGCTTTTTAAAAACCATATTCTTAATAGTTCTAGTAGGTTTAACAGCTATGCACATATAATGTAATACTGAATGCTGAAGAAGATGAATATGGGTATATCCTTGATTTGATTATGGTACACTATATGCTTGCCTTAGAAAACCATTCTGTAACCACAAAGAAAAATATCACTTACATAAACACCAAAAATCATAATTAAAATGATAAAGTTTTTTAAAAAGATTAAAAACACACTCTGTAATTCAAGCATTTTACTAGATACTTTATTAAACTAACCTCTGTATTGACATTTGAATCTTTCCCAAAAATCTACCTATTCATATAATCAAGGTTCCATGGAATTATTTTATATTTAGTTGGATTACTTTTAAATAATTCTGTCTCACCATAATAATTTTTTTTCACTCTACATTCTAGTGGACCAGTAAAGTCTCAATTTATTAAAATTTGAATTTTATTTTGTTTTAGTTTTTGCTATAGGGTGCATGTGCTCTGTGGAGAGAGACAGAGACACAGAGAGAAAACAAGAATTCACCCCCCTTTCCCTGTCCCCCATCCCAGGGTGCTGGCCATCACAGCAATCACTTCTCCTCCATTCTCCTCTCCAGATTATGGGAACACATGCAAAAGAACCCAGCATGATTTTTTTTAAACTGTTGGGTTCAGGATTCAATTCCACAGAGTTGACTATGTGGAATCCAGCACCTTTTAAACCATATGCCATCTTTTGGTCCTGAAAAAAATTATTTTTTTTCTGAGAGGTTTTTTTTTTTTTGCTATAGGGAGTGTGCGCTCACCAGACAGACAGAGAGAGACAGAGAGATAGAAAGCGAGAAATCACCCCCTAGACAGGATGGCCACGCCACAATCCCTTCTCCTCCATTCTCCTCTCGGGACCTTGGGCACGCACACACACGCGCCTGGCGTGAATTTAAGCCACTGGGTCCGGGACTCGAACCGCTGTCGACTACATGGGAGTCCAGCGACATAGCCATTACGCTAACTACTGGTCCCCTGAAAAATATTTTTAACTTATAAATAATGTTAAATTAGGAGCAGAAATATTCAGTTTATAATTTTAACAATGTTAAGTAGATAGGAATTTTACTCAATTCTCATGAAATGCCTTAACTTTTAATATACTGTCAGGATTCTTTGGATTTAGTTTTTTTGTTTAAGAGGTTTTCTTTTGTTTTTTTTTAATAGCAAGAATTAGATTACATGAATTTCCTGGCAGTGCCTCAACCTCCTCCAGGTTTTATATATGTATTATTTAAGAATAATGCCATTACACTAACTGCTGGTCCCAATAATGTTAAATGATTTTCAAGTCACATTCAATTTTTTAATGTATTTGTATTTATTTATAAGGTCACATGAAAATAAATAGCATGGGTGAGGAGAGAATTTTTAAGGAAGTAGTTTTTTATTATTACTATTTTTTAATTAGACTAGAGTCCAGCACCTTGGCCATCACACCAGCTGCTAGCCCTGGAGAGAGAATTTTATATTAAGAATATTTTAGAAATTTAAGCATGCAAGTTCACTTTGCCTGCTGCTTTAGATTGTTGTCTGTCAACATCCTTTTTCTTAATGAACATTATTGATCAATCCTAACACAGATTTCCAAGCACATTGGAAGTTCAATAAGAGTTTGTTATATTTGATGTAAGTGAAAGCAAATTGGATATTTTGTATGACTTTTACATCATCATTCCTTGGATTTACATTGGAGTTATAGTATATTGTTTCAAATTTGTGGTTTCAATTATTTTAGCTTCTCGTTTATGCATATTTTCAGAGGGTGAGGATGTGTATGTGTGTATCTAAAGATGACTGTAATGTTGATGGATTTTCTTTACCGGATTGGTACAGATAGCTGTACAGGGGGTTTGGATGCCCCAGTGAATGAATGGTCGTTCTGAATTCAGTGACTTATTATGATGTTCAGTTATATATTTAAAATGTTGCAGCTGTACTAGTTAGCACAGGTCTTAGATCCAGGGAGGTTAATGAAATTGTTCATGCCATTTTGTGCTGTTAAAATTAAGTTTAATATTGAGTATACTTTTTAAGAAATGATTATGCTAAATCCTTGTCATCCAGTTTCTCTGTTAAGATGGAAATAAATGGTAAGATAGGAGAATAAATAGTAATGTACAGAATTGGAGCCCCATTGCAAAGAAACTATGGTGAAATTTTTAAAACAAGCTTCCATATCTGCTTTGTAAATTCAGAAATGTATAAATTCAACCTTTAAAACAACAAATAATACTGTGCAACTTATGTATAGTAAAAACTGTAATTGAAATAACATGAGTAATTTGAGTCCAAAGATGCTCCAGTAACCTTATCTCACTCTTCTGCTTCAATGAAACATTTTTGAAGCCTACCTGCAAATCAAATATCAAATCACTAATGTTGTTTTGACTGGTTTTCTTCTGTCTACTAAAGAACTAACATACTGGCATTAGTATGGAAAGATAGATACACAGTGGATTTACATGTCCCATTTAATAGTTGGGAATTATATAGCCACAGGTTTTTTTTTTTTTTTCTTTTTTTTTGGAGAGGTTTTTGGTATAGAGCACATGCGCTCGCCAGAAACACAGAGAAAGACAGAGAGATAGAAAGCCAGAGATCACCCCCCGGGGGGATGGCCTCGCCGCAATCCTTTCTCCTCCTTTCTCCTCTAGGGATCTTGGGCACGCACGCACACACAGCTGGCATGAGTTTAAGCCGCTGGGTCCGTGACTTGAACCACGCTCGACTACATAGGGGAGCCAGTCCCCCCAGCCACTACTTAACTGCTGGTCCCACCACAGTTTTTTAAGAGTGTTATACAGTGGTCGGGACCAGCAGTTAGTATAATGGCTATGTCGCTGGACTCCCACGTAGTCGACCGCGGTTCACATCCCGGACCCAGT